CTTTGTTTAAACTTTCTTCTAATTTATAACTCTATTAAACGCTAATGATTCTTTTTATTTTTCTTTTGATTCTTATGTTTTACTTTTCCATACTTTTTATATATATTATATCATGGAAAAGGTGAAAAATTTGGGACATTCATTTTGTTAAGCTTGTGGTTAATTGTTTAGTAGCTTATTATTCAAATTAAATTTAAACCTAAGTTTATTGTTGTTTTTTATTATTATTTTCTACGCTTCTTTTAAACAAATCAAAATGCATTAGCAAATTAAAATTAATATTTAACTATGTATGTGATACAGATGAAACACAATAATAATATTGTCTTGAGTAACATATGTATAACGTACATATATATAGCTCATTCAATCCTCTCACATTATTTGTAGATAAATAATGTTGCTTTACATGCTAAATATACATACATAGTGAATGGAACGGCAATGTGTTGGAGTAGCTACAGTTTATGATGTTGATTCCATGTTACGAGTATGTCAAGATAGCTGGCGTCGGCGTATTTAGTGATTAGAAGATGAGCCGTTAGTTTAGTGTTGTACTGAGATGAAAATCCGCTAAAGTTAATGTTCTAATCAATGTTCGCTATCTAAAGGAGATTGTTAACGATAAGTAATTTAAATCTTAGATGATTTACTTCAAGTTGACACCACTTACTTAGCACTCTAACTGCAGTTCAAAACTAATTATTTCTGATATTGATCGCTTGAGGTTTTCAAATGGTGCTGTTTATGATAATATGCGACTTAAGTTTTTACTCTTAAGAACTGATATAATATTATTAAAAAATCAGAATACAAAATGTACCCGTTTTAAACAACAGTTAATCTATTTACCGCTAAATGATGAGGGCTGGATGTAGTTCATTCAGTGAGCCGGAGTACTTCACAGTAAAACTTTAGACGAGGAACTCCTGGCGGACCATCAGATCATCATTAATTAATAGAGTAGACCCAGTTCTGATGTGTGTTGCTATAAACAGTTGCAACAGACGGATGATGAGACTGAATACAAATAATAATAATTAAATGAGTGTAATGTGAACATTAAACATGAGAATACGGTGAGTGTGTCCAACATTGGGTCATGAAAGGTTCCGTGTAATTTATAAATACACATTACATGCATGTCAAGCTATAAACACTTCAAAGACTTATTGACTTATGATAAGGACATTTAGAAAAAAAGAATTAAATAATTATACAGTAATTAAATAAGTATGTTATTAATATAAAATCAGAATAAATAATTTACAACATAATACAAGGATGGTTTTCATAATATATTTGTATCATCGCTAACCTGGATGTTCAAGAGTTCTTTAAGAAAGAGGATACTTATAAAACAATCATATCGACTGTTTCATATAACAGTGAAGAAAAATACGAATCAATGATATTTAGATCTAATTAATAATTATTATTTATTTCATTTATTCAAGTTACAATGACTCAATTAAAAATACTCCGCACCCTGCACACCAAAGACGCACATCTCTTTCGCATAGTTGTAAAGAAACAATTGACTTTAGCGTCTACGAACATCCCTGATGGTTTGCAGTAACGAGGCAGCCCCACCAGCGCCCGGAACGCGTTGTTGTATTGAACCCTAAGAGCGTTGTACGACTTTTGCGTATATTTGGCCCACAAGCCGCACATGTGCTGCAATAGGCTCGAAAGAAAGCGATTTACACGTTCAGTAAGCACAGCGCAAACTTGCGAACCACCATATTCGCCCTTATCGACAACGCCCTCCGCTCGCGTTCAATACCAGAGTCATCACTGAGATAGGATTTAGGACATGACCGAGATATTTGAATGTTGAATTGAATGAATTATAAATGAATAAATGAATAAATGACAAATTTATGTGTAAATATATCCTTCGATAGTAGTTATAGTCACACGGTTGTCTCTCTCACCGCCTGGTACATTGTTTTCGTTACAATACAACCTCACCTTTCATATAGAATATAACGCGGGTTTAATTGAACAAACGTCAGGGTATAATTTAAATAACAAATACATTAGTCAAGGAGTGTCAGGAACACAGGAACCTGTCTTCATATTTTCTATGGTGTGAGGTTCTAGGGGTATACGTCCCTTTATTAGTTTTCCTGGTCCAACAAAGTCAACACAATAATCACATTAATTTGCTTACTGTGAAGTCCCTTTATTTAATAATTAATTATTTCATCCATTGAAATTCATACAGGGTTTGGTTGAGTCCAAATTTTTTTTGTGCTTATACAGGTGCTCCAGAGAAGGACGTGGATCACACGAAGTTACTGTAGAGTATCTTTCTAGTATTTGGGAGTAATCTTAGAGATTGTGTTAATTCCATTACTTAAGATACCAAGTGAACATCAAAGTTACTGTCGAAAGGTTACACGATCATGCAGGCCTTATGTATTACGATTTGCAAGAATCTTTTGCATTGTGTTTATGGTTGCATTGCGGACCATGATTCTGGATTGTTACCATAACCTAAGAAGCTAGAAGTTTCTATCGACAAACAAGATTGACTAATTTTAGAGAAAAAACGTTAAGTTATGGAAGCAAAAAAAGATATGATGCAGGTCACCTAATGAGAGGCAGTATTAAGACCTAATAGTGATGTGAACTTTTATATTAAGTAGGTGCTTTCATATGTCCTCGAGTCGGCTCCTATGCAATTAAATGTATACATAGATTCTCTCACAGTGTACATCCAGTCCTGATCATTTCGTGTTCACTTTGAAATACCGTCCCATGCTTAGAGATACACTTTACAGCTGAAGTTACATGTTTTAATGTCTAATGTTCGCTTCACAGAGATCCTGGAATACAACAAGCTCACTCACAAATGAAATTGAGAAGTTCATTGTGTAATTGAAGGAAATCAGACCTTCGAATAGTTGAAAAAGTTGGCTCATATAACTATTATACTATTAATATACTCGTATAATAAGTACGTTGATCGAGTGACACACAAAATTAGACTTCTCTTATATGAAAAGAAAGGACTTGTAAAATATTATCACCAGATCTTAGCTAGAAATACAGTCTTCATGTAACATATGAGAATATAAATACTGATTGAAGTGTTTAGGATGTGAAAACGATCGAATATTATCGATAAAAACGAGCGAATGTGGTTGGTATACAAAAATACAGTAACAGTGCAGCGTGAGTCACAAATTAAATCAAACAGGAATATAAAAACTGATGATTTCCTTAACACTGTCCCGGACGTGATGGAGATAAAAAAATGAGGATGGGTGATGTGTGTGTGTGTGTGTGTGTGTGTGTGTGCGTGTTGAAGTACAGCAGCTCTGTACTGTTATAGTAAGCTTGCAAAATGAGCCTTGAAGGGATGATCAAATAAGCAAGCAAGTAAATCTCATTTATGTTCTTATTTCGTAATGCATAAAAATTTAATAAAATGTTTTTTAATTTAAACATAAACACCTCGTATATATAAAATTAATTGAATCACAGATTTGAATTTAAAATGACTTTTATGACTACATATTGCAAAATTAATATTCAACATTATTTATTATGAAAATTACGAAATTCATGTTGTATATTAATGAGGAGTAGCCAGTTTAATATTACCAAATATTTTCCTTGAGGCGTGCACTTATTAGAGTCTGTGTTAACATGGGCCGCGCGCGTCATATATCACAACTAATATTTTTCCGTAACGTTGGCCAGGAACCCTCTTATTATTTTGGACATAACATATAATCTGAATCTTCTAACTCCTTGAATAACATCTCCTCATATTGAGCCATATTTCTTTTTATCTAACGAGCTGTATACAGTACTTAGTTACTAGTTAGTTCATTACATTGAAACATAATCGAATAAAGAAGAAAAACTCTATTTATGTGGACTTCGAGTTTGTTATTAAACTGTTATATTCATAAAAAATATATCTTTTATTGATACATAACATGTTTTAAATGTCATTTTGAATTACCTAACCAATATACATGCGTCACGATCTCTTTAGACAAAAAGCTTTTCCTATTTGGATTGTTCGCATATCAAGAAGAAATACGCACACATAATATGTATATTAACATTTACATACAAAACTAAAATTTATGGTAAATCACTTAACAGAAACATTCGGTTATACATAAGAGGTGAAATGTAAAGCAATTATATGAATAATGATATTGAGTCACGTCAGTTATCAAAAAGAAAATGTAACAGTAAGAATGAGTAAGGTAATGAAATGTTTTAGCAACACTGAAAGAAATTGAAACGACACACATCTAAATATTTTAAAATGCATATTCAAGTAATTTGTGGGTTTCTAAGAAAATATTTGCTCGGAGATTTAATCATTATTACCAAACAACGCAGTGAAGGAGTACGTAAAGTTGATAGAAGAGGTATTGATAAGCTAGAAGGGTGGTTCTGGCAGGTTGGTATCAATCACGTAATCGTTAAAATATAAACCTCGTGACTTTGAAGGGTATTTATCTGAGCTTGGATTATGAGTTGAATGATGTAATCACACTTAATACCCCGCGGGTTTAAAAGTTCTGTTCACTATAAACTTAAAATAGGCTTTAAATGTCTTCACTGACTTACTATTGGACTTATATATAAACTGTAGACAATTCAATTACCGTCTAAATTAAAATAGAAGACTTCAATTAATCCAGTTTTCTATTAAATTCTTTGATAACAAATAATAAACAAGCTGAAGGATTTATATATAAGTAATTAAATCATAAAAGATATTAATTATTACTTTTATTTTATAATCTTAATGAACTCCGACGTCCTGATCGTTTTATTACTGTATAAAGCCGATTAAAAACGATTTACTGTTCACATTAAGTGTTCATTTGTTGCTGGATTTTAATATGAAAATATATTTAATAGATGTTTTTGTGTTATCTTAAACTTGTTGTTTATAACGTTCAGTTTATTCAAAACGCGTTCAACCTGTTTATCATCTTCATATTGATACAATGTGAAGGTCACACATCAACACTAGTTTTATTGATACACAGCTCAATCACAGGTCCGTCGTGACTCGTGAGTGAAGTATAGCTGTCACGTTTGGACAGTTGATGACGTTTAACGACTCTGGACCATGTGGAGAGACGGACTGAATGGCTCAAAGGCGGCCACGAAACTGTAATAAAAGTTAGCTTGATATTTAGCTTTGAGAACAGGCCAAAACACGACCCGGTTAATTAATAGAAAACAATCAAGAACTGACCAGTTGTTAGTCGAAATATACTTTGAAATATAAAATCTTGTTGCTTTATAGATAAGCAAGTCAAATATAAGTATATTTATAGCTTCGCCGGTGATTTTCTGTTAAGTGTCAAGTTCTTTCAGTCACCTGTGTTTATATAACCGATCTGTTCCGAACATCCATCGTCCGCTCGTGATACGCCGTACATCTGTCACGGCGACATGAGTCCGTGTCGTTTAAATATTACTTTTCATTTCCATGTTAACAGCTGCAGCAAATGTAATCCAAGAGTTTTGAGATTCAAGCTATAAATTATACTCTCAGAATAGTATTGTTTTGAGATAAATCGGCAGTAAATGATTTAATTTTAACTGAAACCGTCTAGCAACAGATATAATATAAACATGTGAGAAGTCGTGTTAAAAAGTTGAAGTTACTGTTCGTTTGTTCTTAAATAAAACGAGAGGTTTGGCCCCTGAAGTTGTATTAAAAAGTATTATAAAGTAATTTTGTTATAACATTTATACTTTATCTCATATAAGTTTATTTTTCTATAGATGTGATGATTTCTGTTATATCAGAGCTCTGTATTTTACTATCAATTGAAGCCAAAAACCTTTTAACGTCTGACGTTAATAACATTACATATAATTAAACAGGATGGAACGGAAAACAGAACTTGTCATATATAATGTTTATCAACGTATCTGATAGTCATTTATATGCGTATATACAAATCAAATTGTAAAGTATTACATAGAGTAATGACTGTAACATATAAATAAAAACAATGTCCACTACTCATCGAGTACTAGTGACAATGAAACTGTTTTCGTATCTATTGTAACACTGATCAAAACTTTGAGCATGTCCGCATAATGTAGTTAAAAGAAACCATTCCTAAGTCTTACACTTTTGACTTGAATTGTAGTCATGGTAATTTTCATACTTTTTTAAGCGACCATGAATCTGACCGAGATAAATTGAATGTAATTTTACAATCTTGGTGGAAACGGCTCCATTATAAATCTGTGCAACACCAGACACAGACATTTACCATCACGTGGTCCCTCTGCCAGCTTTTATTGTCATAAAAACCGTTTACCAGCTGCAAGTTTATACACTGGAAAAAAAAACAAAGCGAAATATGAGATTTATATTTTTGCAGCGATTGTTTAATATTATTTATAAACTTGAGTTTTATTTTAAAAATGTTACAGTGAGATAAAATTCAAATGGAAAACTAAGAATGAAAAATTCATCGACACGATCAGGAGTTACAAACTTTGGAGTATCGCGTTACAGTTGTTTTGCCAATTAAAGCTTTCAAGAAGAAACATTTTAAAGACGCCACCGCCGGCGTTAGATTTGCATAATCATGTTTTAAGCATTACAATAATGATATACAACAGTTAAATATAAATGCTGTATAAAGTATTATAACAGTTAAACATATAGAATGCTTAATACACCCACTTGAGTAAGCGCTACCTCTTCGGGGGAGCCTTACTCGAGGTGGAACATTCCACAAGAGCGTCAAGAGTCAAGCGACCCCGCGACTACCCAACGGAGGCGATGAGAGTGAGTGTTGGCCTGAAGTACGTAGTCCCAGGTCTAATTCAGGGTACACAGATACAACCAGACTACTTCCTTGGTTCGGAAGAAAGTAATAAACCTCTGACCCAATGATGAAAAAGTTCATGATGGTTATTTTTTTTATTATTACAATTATTTGATTGGTAAAATAGCCGAAACGCCATATGCAGATAATAATAAGAACTTCAAAAATTACATTCGACTATTTCAAAAGGTCACGCGTTCATGTTTGTGTACATAATGCTCGCTGCACTCTTTTGGAGCCTCTCAATGAAAATGCTAATTCATGAAAGAAAAACGAACCAAACCTTTTAATGGAATGAAGCTCTGAAACATTGTGAAATATTGTTAGGACTTTGACAAGAAGTTCGACCTCTTGAGTCGATAATATATAGTTAAAAATTGCATCGTAATAACAAATAGATATGTTAAAGATTATTAAGAAAAAACAGTCCTTTAATAAAGGAATAATGAGAACTAGAATCATAAGGTTGGGAGGAGCCGCCGTCACTGAAGTATAACAGAATGATGTACTGATAGTATAGATAGTGAGATAACGTCCAATAATACAGCGGACAAGACGAGATCAGTGATGTGATGGGATGTGCCTTCAAAATATGAAGATCCATTATATTGAATCAGTTATTGCGTTAGAGACGGTCGACTGCTCGCAGACGACCACGCGACAATAGGGACGCTTATATTAAATATTAACACTACTTATATATTATACACATATATATAGAGGTCGGGGACTTCACGCGTTATCCAGAACATATTATAGTACAAGTGCGATGACGTAGATACTGAAGTCTTATATGATAAATCATAAACTTTGTATTAAACATATTTATATTAAACCAGAGCCGAGTGTATAATGGACATCGTTAATAACTTGTAATTTAAGATGAAAGTATTAAAAAAGGCAATCACAGAATTAAAGGTATTCTTCGTATTGCCTAAAGATCCGGAAAAGTAAACGAAAATTAGGACCTACAAAGACAAAGAGGCTTCATTATCAGATTGTGTGTCTCAGAGTCAACATTATGAATGTGTCCCTCGTCCGTGTGTTTTATATGTAGTGGGTGGGGTAGTGTTCAGTGTACACAGATGATAACTTCATCAAGCTTTTAAAGTTTACATGAACACTGTTTGTTATCACATCAGCTCCACGACTAAATATTACAGAAACGATCGATGACGGTAATGTAATCGATGTGTGGTTAATAAATAACGTTGATGACTAAACTAGAGAGACTATCACTGCCAATATGTGCAACTAATATATAAAATAATTAAGTACTTAACGAGCTATATAACACTAAAATTTTATTTATATAGTGTGAGTACTTTTTAGTGTACAGGCCACTGAACACATATGTATACTCTCTTCCTCGTTTACAGTATGTGTGGGCTCGTGTATACAACAAACAATTAATATTATATCATAATTTAATAAAACTAGAGCAACGTAATATAAAGTCTTAATGAACATTAATTTTAAATATTTGCGCGGTAAGTTTTATTTGTAGTTAAAATTTAATAGAACCTCTCACCGCGTTAAACGAATGCGACCAAATAATTACTTCTTCAACTGAAATTACAATTCTGTCATCACATTTTTTACTCGTTAATATTTTGTAAATATTAATTCTTATTGAAATTTTACAGTTAATGTGACAAGTAATAAACAGCGTTCTGTTTCTCGAAACTTGGAGAGTTTTTATAAAAAAACGTCAATCACAGCTTTTGGCGACTCTCGTGAAAACTGAAGGCTAGTTGTAGACTTTATATTTCAATATATTGGTCACAGACCTTGTGCAAACATTTCAGTTAAAATGTTTATATTATTTACGACTTGATTTGAGTGCGGACTGACCGAAAGACAGATAGGATGATGAAGATTTCAGCCGTTTTCTAAACACTATTTTTTACGTAAAGCATGTGTTCACATGAGTATTTGTTTCTACGCGGAAAAAAAATTCACTAAAATAAAAACATCATCTCAATGAGTGTAGATATTGTTGAAGAACCATTATGAGCACGGAGCCATGACAACTGTTGTTAATTGTTACAAGTCGCTAACAATATTTGATATGGGACGTTTCAATAATTCTGTTGATAATAATATGAGTAGAAGTATAAACAAAAGACATAGATTTTTTAAAGATCTTTTTAATTGTCGCTGTTCGGCGTGTCTTCAGTGTCCAGATGACGTGCCGCGAGGTCTCTCCGGCCGAGACTCAGTAGTGGGATTCAGTTCAGTGAAGTTGGTAGCGCGCGTCGCGACGCCCGCCGGCACAACACTCGCGGGAAACAGTTACGAACGAAATGACAGTGAGGAAATATTAAGTTTATAAGATCAGTGATTGTATTAGTTGAGTGGAAAATATGTAATAGTATTATAGTGAGGAAGACGAACACTGACATACTCTGGTGGAGAGTTTATTATTATTGTTGTGTCGAGACTCGAGTCGACCACGCAGCGAGGAACTTCAAATTTGGCCATTTATTTAATTAGCTTGTAAGTATTCATTGTAGAAAAAAATATGTTTCACTACTTTAGAAGATTTTAATAGAAGGATCCATTAAAATAATGGACACATTTCGTGAATTGTGTGATAATATTTTGAACGAAAACCGTTTAAAAATAATCATAGTTTCTTTTTTTTATAAAATACGTTCTCAGCGTATTGTTCTATGAAATAAAACATGCCTCTTTTGTGATTAAATTAAATATTATATATACTTACGAGTGAATTAAATCTTCATCAAATATATATTTTTCTTTTCCTCCTGTTTTTTATTTTTATTCGTAACAAATTTCGATCAGTAATAAGAAGTCGCTTCAGTTGTGTTGGAATTTATTTTGTATCAATGTAAGGCTGTTCTTATCTATATATTTTTTTGACAATTTTAATATAATTTTGAAAATAACTTTGTTCCAATAGTTCAGAGTAAAAGAAGATTCTTTCAAACGAATGGAATGACGTTAGCTGTTGTTAATAGTTTGGCAAATTTGAATTTATTAGGCCATACATTTAAAATTAATTGAAATATCTAATAATAATGATTATTGTTCTTCTCAAAATTGGTCTTTTTTACTTTTCATCTCTACACTTGTCGTAAGTTCAGCACTACGTTTGATAGTTACATTCTTGACATAATATGAGAATAAATTATATTATTTCATGAGTATTGACGCTAGTGATTGTACATTTATATCCGGAATTTATTTTAAAATCAACGCAACAAAGCGAAGGGAAGCGTTCCTTATGAAGTGAGAGCGGCTCCCGACCGACGGTCGTGTTCTTCACTGAAATGGATTTACATAAATTTGGAATTGTTTAACCGAAGTTTGATCATTAGCATTAAAAACAACAGATAAATCTCACTGATTAATTATTGTTATGTCGTTTAACATTCAAACTGTAGACGTACTGCGGTTATGTGGCGTTGTTTATTATTTTACGTGTAAGAAACACAGAAAGTAAAGTTTAAAGACATATTATGTGTAATAATACATATCAGTACAATTAATCTGAGCCTCCTTAAGGGGCTTTTCTCTAACTTTTCACTTTTTCTGTAAAAATTATTTCATATTAGACACAT